ATGGGGCACTATTCCTCCCACTGACACCAACGATGGGGCACTATTCCTCCCACTGACACCAACGATGGGGCACTATTCCTCCCACTGACACCAACGATGGGGCACTATTCCTCCCACTGACACCAACGATGGGGCACTATTCCTCCCACTGACACCAGTGATGGGGCACTATTCCTCCCACTGACACCAGTGATGGGGCACTATTCCTCCCACTGACACCAGTGATGGGGCACTATTCATCCCACTGATACCAATGATGGGGCACTATTCCTCCCACTGACACCAATGATGGGGCACTATTCATCCCACTGATACCAATGATGGGGCACTATTCCTCCCACTGACACCAATGATGGGGCACTATTCCTCCCACTGCAAAATTACAGTTATGAAGTAGCAATGAAAATAATTTTATGGTTGGGGGTCACCACAACATGAGGAACTGTATTAAGGGTCGCGGCATTAGAAAGGTTGAGAACCACTGCCCTAATGGGACACAGATGGCAAAAAATAAACCAACAGCGGTTATAAACCCTCCCCTACTCTATACATTTAGAACAATAGGCAAAATGTGTTTGTTTTATTTTTATTTTGGATAAAACGGACCTGTAAAAGGCAACTGCGCCATTGTGTACAAGTTTCACTTAAAACTTGAAAATTATTATTTGGAATATAAATACTGAATGTCTTTACTTTGGACACAAATACAATAACTTAGCAGTCAAAAACAAAAAAAAACAAAACTATTACTTATTGGCACAGAGTAACTTTAGACAAACACTTCCTCTATTTGGGTTGTTGTTGGCAGGAAAATATAGGCTCTATATTTGGGCAAAGATGTTTGAATGGATGCAGAAAATCACTATATACTGCAGCCGCTCTCAACTTTAAAGTGGTCTTAAAGGCTGAAGGATTTTTACCTTCATGCATTCTATGCATGAAGGAAAAAACCCCCAAAAAAAAACAAAAACTGTGTGCTGCTTCCACCTCAGGCCCCCCCCTCAATACTTAACTGAGCCCCCTCTTAACCTGGCAATGTGTACAGGAGTCTCGGCTGTCCTGGGTCTTTTGCTCCTCATTGGCTCAGACACAGACACACAGCAACAGGAGCCATTGGCTCTCACTGCTGTCAATGAGTCAGAGGAAGGAGCGGGGTGCGTGGCCAAGCTGCAGTTCTATGTTTCCTAGGCACACACAGAGCAGGGCTCGGGAGTGAGCACTCACGTGCCCCCATAGCACTGGGGGCACTGGTCAAGAAGAAGCCAGGAGTGCTGTTGGGAGAGCCGAGAAGGAAAGTATCAGCGCTGCTCTGTGCAAAACCATCAGCTTCCCCCCCCCCCCCCCAATCCTTATATTTATCTGAGCCCCATCTCAATCCAACGATGTGCATGAGAGCAGCGGCTCTCCTGGGACTCTCTCGCTCTCCTTATTGGTTCACAGCAGTGGGAGCCATTGGCTCCTACTACTGTCAATCACTGTCAGTGAGCCAATTAATAAAGAGTGGGGATGGGCTGAACCACGCTGTGTGTAAATGGACATAGTGTAGCTCAGGAGAGAGCCTGCACGAGCACCCCCAGGACTGCTATTGGGGGCACTTTGCAGGGGTGGAGGAGCCTGGACCACCAGTGGGGGACGCACAAAGAAGAGGTTTAGGGCTGCTCTGTGCAAACCCATTGCACAGAGGAAGCAAGTATAACATGTATGTTTTAAATCTTTCCTTTAGAATCACTTTAAAAAAAAGACATGCCTTGAATGCAAACATTTAGGAAAAAAACAGGTAAATTTGAATTAAGTTCTCCCTTCATACAAAAGAACCTTAAAAAAACAAAAAACAAAAACAAAACAAAAACACCAATGCAATTTTGGAGTGTATTCATTTGAATAGCCTGCAAATCATTCTGGAACATGGAAAAAGTAATGCATGCACTACTTTTAAAAACATGCCGCACTAAACCACATGGTACTGTGGTAGCCACAAGAATAAAAGGAATAAAGAATTTGGTATTGGTTTTTTGTATTGGACATAAAAAAGTCAGAGCAGTTCTGTTTCATTCAAAAGGTACGAAATAAAATAAAAAAAAAAAAAAAAATAATAAAATCACATTTTCCCCCCATTTTGAAAAGGTTATATAACCCGTCAGATTCTTTTTCTTTTGCCATCTGCGTCCCATTGGGGAGATTTCCATTCACTTCTTGTCCAATAACCAAAACAGTAAGTGGAAGGAAACCCCCTTCAAATTGAGGAAATCCCAGTTTATCACCAGGGTCATGAGATTTAGTGTCCCCATTGGAACATTTCCCATCCCTCTGTTCTGGCGACAACCCAAAATTCTGGCTATTTTTTTCCCCTTTCACTTTTAAGTATAAAGGTAAACAGGACAAATAAGGTGAATCTCCCTAATAGTGACACAGACAAACCTTCCAATCCCTCTACATTCTATCTAAAAAAAAAAAAAACAAAAACACCGAACATTTTGTCTTTTTAACGTTTCCTCGCATTTGTGCTCAGTGTGAAAAGAGCCCCATTACACCGAGGGTCGGCGGGACAAGAGCCCCATTACACCGAGGGTCGGCGGGACAAGAGCCCCATTACACCGAGGGTCGGCGGGACAAGAGCCCCATTACACCGAGGGTCGGCGGGACAAGAGCCCCATTACACCCAGGGTCGGCGGGACAAGAGCCCCATTACACCGAGGGTCGGCGGGACAAAGCCCCATTACACCGAGGGTCGGCGGGACAAGAGCCCCATTACACCGAGGGTCGGCGGGACAAGAGCCCCATTACACCGAGGGTCGGCGGGACAAGAGCCCCATTACACCGAGGGTCGGCGGGACAAGAGCCCCATTACACCGAGGGTCGGTGGGAGAAGAGCTCCATTGCACCAAGGCTGCTCAAAGAACCCCTAACAACCTTTGGGGAACCCAGGGTTTTACAGAACCCTAGTGAAGAAAAAAAAAAAAAGAAGATTTATAGGATATAGGCAAATTAAGTCCTTTTGCCATTTCACCTCATGCCATAATCACTAGCTTAGTCATAATATAATAATGTCATAATCAATAGCTTTTCCAGCTCAAAGTAAAATACTAATTTGGTTACCAAGGTAGGTCCTGATCATTAAAAGGTTAACACTATTTTCATGGGGGAAAAAAAAATGGCAATAAATAAATAATAAAAAGCATATACAATTGCTATAGTCATACATACTGTAATTGAAAGCTATTAAAATTACCTTTCCCTTTTAATCTGCAGCATAGTAATTTAATGTAAAATGCAATGCAATATGGCAACCTGGAGGTGTTCTGTACACAGAAGGTGTACAGAACGCCCCCAGAAATGTAATTTCCTGTTTGTGTGATTGGCTTACTGATTTTCCCAGAAGTCCGCACTAAGACAGACTTTGGGCATCCTCTGCAACAAAAACGTTTTTGGTGAGATACATCTAAAAAGCGAATCAGATCCTGCCACTTTCCTCATTCGAACCCTGCAAGTGCAGCAGCTGATTGGCAATTAAGTCACTCCCAATCACATTCACTCTGCAGATGAACACAGACAAAACAGCTATTTCTTCAGAACGAAAAAAAAGGTAGAAATCTGCAACAAAAAATTTGTTAAAATCCTTGCAATGTACATAGATCACCTGGGCGGGGAGGGATGCAATCTGTGGATGCAGGAAAGAAAATTGATCGATCCAATATGGAATTCCTCCAGCAATTTTATATTCTGACAGCAGGAGGTTTCCCGGCCATCCGAATACAATGACCACTAGATCTTAACCACTGGCAGTGACTGAACAAAAAAAACAGACAAGCTTGTTGTACTGAAGACGACTGAGCAATTGACTTTAGCACAATCAGCCTGACCATACATGGATCAAAATTTGCCTACCTTCTGCTGAACCGGCCGAATTTCAATCCATCTATGGCCGGTTTTACTCTTTAAACTGTTGCTAGCAACAGACAGTGCACAGCAAATGTAAAATTCTTTAGAAGTCTGTTAAATGATGCCCCTCTGTTCAAGATTTCCTTGATAAATCCAGCATATTTAACTGCATTAAACATTCCCAACAAAGCTTCATTTTCTTCTATATTATCATGTCTTTACTAGCACAAAAGGTAATGAAGTCATTTTCACCAACAATCCCAAAATGGTTCAAAAACCTTATTTCTCAAAAACAATAATCTAGCTTTCCTCACCAAAGCATGTTGCCTACCACTTTAACAGCAGGAGACACAAATTAAGCCTGACAGGATCCAATACTTTATTGCCAAGGTCTCTTGGCTTCATTCCTCGGAAACACAGAACAACCCTGTAAGTCTGACTACAGCCGTTATGAAACGACACTGCAACTAGTCTCTTCTTGAATACTGATCAGCATTTACTTTTGTCAGAGGAAAGGTAACCTTTTCACTTACTATGGATTAGGTCAAACAAAACAGCACATCAGTTACTCATTGTTTCATTACGAATTGAAATGCAATTATGTAACCTACGATGCTACAGATTTCTTGTTTATGATCACAATTCTGTGTCACAGTATAAAAGTAGAGGCTTGAATACAAGCTAAAACTACATCCATTAATTCCAAATCACTATTCTGCCAGGGTTTGCCCCTCTAAGCTAAAAAAAAAGCCAAAATGTTAAATGTTATTTATCTCACAATAGCTTGGTCACATCCTCATCTGTTTAGAATGCTGTGAGGGATAGAACCATAAAATTGACCAGTCATCCATGACTCACTTAACAAGACAATGCACCACAGGCTTGGCGGACTGGCACAGTACGATTGGATTTTTTTTTCTCTCAATTCCCCCCCACCTACCCAAGAAACACAGCTTACATTCAAGGTGACTTTGACAGTGCAGGCAAAATTATGCCAGTGTCGTATTCATAGTAATGGCAACACATTTTTCCCCAAAATGCCACAGCACATGGAAAGTGGGAATACAACACCATTATGATCAAATACATTACAGTTTAATACTATATAGATGTTCTCTTACCCTACACACAGACATCTGGTTAGTGGTTAGAGTTCCCGTCTTGTCAGAGCAGATAACCGATGTACAACCTAATGTTTCAACAGATGGCAAGCTTCTAACAATAGCATTTTTCTTGGCCATTCTTCTAGTACCCAGAGCCAAACAAGTGGTAATAACCGCAGGCAAACCTTCAGGGATAGCAGCAACAGCAAGGGCAACGGCAATTTTGAAGTAGTAGATGGCACCTCTGATCCAAGAGCCTCCATGAACTGGATCATTAAAGTGTCCAATATTGATGATCCAGACAGCAATACAAATTAGAGAGATAACTTTGGAAAGTTGTTCCCCAAATTCATCCAACTTCTGTTGCAGTGGAGTCCTCTCTTGTTCAGTTGCTACCATTTCATCTCGAATCTTCCCAATTTCAGTGTTGACTCCTGTTGCTACAACTACTCCAATTGCTTTGCCAGCAGCAATATTTGTACCCTTGGGAGAAAAAATTAAAATTACAAAAAGTGCACTAAATGATGTGACAGGACTAAAAAATAAGAGCAAGAACTTTAGAGGTTCAAGTTTATCTACCGAGGACAACAGCTGTACTTACAGAAAAGAGCATGTTCTTTTTGTCTTGATTTACAGCACGTGGATCAGGGACAGGGTCAGTGTGTTTGATAACAGACACAGACTCACCTAGAAAACAAGAGGTTTATCCACCCAATAAATTGTTAATAAAAGAATGTTTAAGCAAAGCTAGTAGTTTTTAACACCAGTAAATATCTTAACCCCCATTCACACCAATTATTTTGTAGCTTAAAGCTCCAAAAAACACTACATAAAAAATCCCATGGTTTTCATGTTTGCCCATTCGCACCAAAGTTCGAAAAAGTACATAAGCTTCAAGCATTTTGGGCCCCAACAGACTTCAATAGGAATGTTGAAAAACATGCAGAAATGCATGCATCACACATTCTTTCCATTGGGAAACTAGCTTTCCATTGGCAAAAGATGCTCAAGAAAAACATCTGTACAAAATCCAAAAAACACAAAGAAGGAACCTGGTAAAAAAAACAACCAAAAGATGCTTGGCTCAAGTGTGACTGTAACCTTATATCTTAGCAACTTCATGCAGCCAATGCACAAAAAACCCAAAACATGAAACAGAGGATAACAACTTTATCACTGCAGCAGTTGTCAAGGTAGAGTGTACACCTCAACACTAACAGAAAAAGCTAGAAGGAATTTTCTGCAAGAAAAACCTTCCTGTAATTCTGGGAATCAATACCTTCAGAAGTTCAGCTATGTGAACTAAGGCCATAACCAAAAACCAGTGCGGTGCTACCCCAATTATAAATCAACAATCAATTCTCACATGATATCAATATATACATTCATATATTTCTGCACACACTTTGGTTTTATAGTAGAAAATAAAAGTTAAAAATATTCACATTCAGTGAGTGTTAGAACTGGATCGCTGTAAAGGAGACCTGATTATCAGTTTACACCCATGTGGAGGATCCATGCCAGATAGACCTTATGATTATATAGAGGACAAAGGTGAGAAGTTTTAAGTTTGCACTGGGTGTAGAGTTAACACCTTTGAGGGTGAAATTTAAGAAAAAAAAACAAACACACGCAACACATTATTGGCTTGGTGCTTATTTGCCATTACTGGTTATTTCTTCGCAATGTGTTGCGTGATTTTTTTTCCATGTTTGTGTGTATATATATATATATATATATATGATATATTTATTGCACATTTATTGTATGCACCGATACATGAACCACTATATATGTGACACTATTGTGTTTGGTTATTCACTTATATTGTCATCATTTGGGAAATGATTGTTGAATTATAATAGGGTAGTGCTGCACTGGTTTTTGGTTATAGGTTTAAAAGGTGGAGTGATCACTTCGTAGTGTCAGCAAGCTACCACTGAAAAGAGAAAAAAAAAAGTTTTTTGGATGGTTTCATTTATTGTGCAGGTCAGTTATTGGTTATTTTCATATGTAAACTAAGGGACATATCTAATCTAGGGGAAAGAATTAAAAAAAAAAACACACACATAACCCCCCCCCCCCCCCCAAAACCCTTCATCCTACATACCAGTTAGGATTGACTGATCTACTCTTAATGTTGTAGACTTGATAGAAGTTAGCCTTATGTCTGCTGGTACTTTGTCACCAACTAAAAAGAGACAGGAAAAAAAAAAAACATTTTAGCAATATTTTGAACTGTACATTTAAAAAGAATCACAACACTTGCTTAAATATGAGAATTTTTTGTGCCTGTAAAAAAATCTCCCTGGAGGGACATGACTGATAGTAAGCAAGCAGGAGAAATTGACACTAGAAAACAGATACTAAAGGCCAGTCCCCTTAGGCTACATTCACACAGACTTTTGTATCTGACAGCAGCTAAATGCTAGTAATCTGCACTTGAAAAAGCTGAAATATTTCCTGCAGATAGCTGCGGTTTGTAAATGGAGTTTAAATGTAGATAGCTGCATTTAGCTGCAGATAGCGGTGTCAGTGCTTTCAGGCTTTTTTCCCCTCAATACCCCATTCTTGTACCCCAGACACCTCATCTTCCACTTTGTTGGTAGTTTCCTGAGCAAGGAGATTGTGCAATTGAAACGGAGTACAGAGCAAAGTCGGTGCTTGTGTACCTGCTTGAAGAGAAGATTGAGGGCCAGTTCACACGCACAGCACTACTTTTAAAACTGCATGGTACTACAGTAGCATGTTATTTGGTGCCTGCAAACGGACTGCATTGTGAGCTGTGTTCGGGGTGCTGTTAATTAATTGGCACCTGCATGCAGATTGCAAGGGCAGTGTGGTCACCTGCAGTGCGGGAAAAACTTGCCTTTTCTACACTGCATTCTGGTGTGAACCAGCCCTGAGGCAAATAGAGAGATGCTGGGTTGTCAGGGGATGTCCCCATTTTCCCTTAATTTGCCTAACTAGGGGATATTTTGTCCTGAAGCATCAGGAAATCAGAACCTATCCCGATAAATTTTTCAACTTTACCAGAATGTCAGATTCTGCTTTTGACAGCTTACTAATTATTGTTAGACCACATGTGCAAACAACGAATACCAACATGAGGATGTATGAGAACCAACATGAGAAGGAATACCAACATTTTCAGGAGGAAAAAGGGTGACGTATGTAATTTTCTGCTGCTAAAAGCACTGCAGTTATCTGCGACTAAACCCATTGCACGTATAGCTGCAGATATTCTACCCTGGACGCAGCACACATATGAAAACCCGCTTGGAGCTTGTAAAACAACTTTTGCAAATGCCAAATGGGCTTTCATGTTTTGCAACAAGAAGAGACTTCTGTCTAGCCACTCTGCCACGAAGCCCAATTTGGTGGAGGCAGTGATGGCTGTCCTTCTGGAACTGTCCCATCTCCACACTGGATCTCTGGAGCTCAGCAAGTGACCATCGGGTTCCTGGTCACCTTTCTTACTAAAGCCCTTCTCCCCCGATTGCTCAGTTTAGCCAGGCGACCAGCTCTTGAAAGAGTCCTGGTTGTGCCAAACTTCTTCCATTTGAGAATTATGGAGGCCACTGTGCTCTTGGCAACCCTCAGTGCAGCAGAATTTTTTGGTAGCCTTCCTCAGATCTGTGCCTTGCAATAATCCTGTATCTGAACTCTGCAGCAGTTCATTTGACCTCATGGCTTTTGCTCTGATACAGTACACATTGTCAGCTGTGATGCCTTTTAGAGAGGTATGTGCATTTCCAAATCATTTCCAATCAATGTAAGTTACCAGAGATGAACTCCAATCAATGTGTAGGAACATCACAGCAACGATCAAGAGAAATGGAAGGCACCAAAGTTAAAAATTTCAAGTGTTGTTGCAAAGGGTCTGAATACTTATGCAATATTTCAGTTTCTCCTTTTTTTATATTGCAAAAAAATTAGTTTTTCACTTTGTCATTATGGGGTACTAAGCGTAGAATAATGATAAAAAAAATAAAATAAAATTTAAACAACTGTAGTATCAGGCTGCAAAGTAACAAAATTTGAATAACGCAAAGGGGGTCTGAATAATTTATGAATGCGAGATTCCAAAATCTGCATGAAAACCACCAGGCATACCCGCAGCTCTGATAAAGCTGGAGGGTGCGGACCTCTATGCGATGGCAGATTATCTGCAGGCTTTCAACGGAAGCTTACAACTGCCTTTACCCAAGGAGGTGAGGGAGACTTAAGAGTCCTGTAACTGGAACCCACCTTGCAGGATAAAAAGGTGCTGATCAACATCATTGTTCCTTAGCTTTGCATAGCTGGATAAGCAGGTAGACACATCCCCCATTGCAACTTCAATGATTTAGTCCAGCAAAAGAGCTGAAGGTCCCGTCTCCCATGAGGGGAGGAAGGTGTAACAAGGATTACATGCCATGCTGCTCTGCTAACCAACACTTAAAGCATTTTTAAACCCAAAACCAAATATTGTATATATTTCAGCTTATCAATCAGATGTGGTGGCTGCATTGTTATTTTATTTTTAGGCTTTTCCCTTGGCTTTCCCCGGATGATCTGGCTAGTAACACAAACACGCCTCCTGTATGAGATTGCCCCTACTCTGGATGAAGGAGCACAAGTGGCACAACAGTCAGCAGCATTGTCAATATGGGGTGAGGGTGGTGTTAACTATACTATTAGATTTAAATACAATAACAAATTGAGACCAAACTGCATATAATACTTTATTAAGCAGTTACAGCAGACATTTGTATTCCTTTTAGGATAAAGGTTGTATATAAATAAAAGCTGATCATTGTAAACACCCTATCGGTGTTAAACGTTTGCTCTTATCCCTGTAACTGATCTATTTGAAGGAGAGCTTGTTCTGTTGCAAAACAGGACTTGCTGACTGAAATACCAGATGGCAATAGAAGAAAGCGAGCCCAAAAAAAAAGGAAAAATATAGCCATCACATCTAAGAACTGGTAAGCTGAAGTGTTTGCTTTTAGGTTTAATATTTCTGTATGTCAAAGTGGCCTACAGATTTGAACATAGGAAAGGATTTGACAATTCTGCTAGCACCTACCGTCGTGGTGCACACAAAAAGGTCACTGCGACAATCCTCTTGTCAAAGCAATCAATTAGATAAAAAGTCCATGAAAAAGGCTGCCAGGTCTCTTAACCGCCACCCTATAGCAAAAATATTGCTAGAGGGCGACAGGGGTGCACAAAATCGTGTATACATACGCGATTTCACATTTTCGGGTAGGGGGCATGCACGCCCGTACGCGCACCCTACCTGCGCTGCCTTTCGCGGCCTCGGCTGCCAATCACCGGGTCCCGGCCGCCAATCACCGGGTCCCGGCCGGTGACTACTCACCTGTACCCGGTGATCGCCAAGTAATACTGCCGGGGGAGAGAACTGTATGTAAACAATACAGTTCTCTCCCGTCAGCTCAGGCACACTGCTTTGTATGGCTCTGCATCGCAGACCTATACAAAGCAGTGTCCTTACAGTGGAAAGCAGTGTCAGCCCCATAGTGAAACACACAGCTAACTCTTTGATCACCCCAGAGGTTAACCCTGTCCTGCCCAGTGCCATTAGTACAGTGTTGGTGCTTTTTATTAGCACTGATCACTGTATTGGTGTCACTGGGGATGTCAGTGAAACCAAGTCAGTTCCACCCAGTGTCAGAATGCCCGCAGCAGTTCCGCTATAAGCCGCTGATCACTGCCATTACTAGTAGAAAAGAAAAAAAAAAAATAAAAATTTCCAGTATATATGCACAGCTATTTGTAAACACTATAACTTTCACGTAAACCAATTCATTTAAATGAACTGGGACTTATTTTTAGCAAAGACATGTAGCATGTTTGCCCTAATTTACATTTTTTATTGGACATGTTTAAGAAAGCTCTATTTGTGGGGGAAAAAAAAAAAAAAGGACATAAATTTCAGTTGGGTGCAGCGTTGCATGACCGCACAATTGTCGGTTAAAGTAACGCAGAGTTGTAATGCAAAAAAAAAATGGCCTGGTCAGGAAGGGGGGTAAATCTTCTGGAGAGCAAGTGGTTAAGAATGCTGACCATGTCTAGATAAAATCCTCTTCTTTGATAAGAGATGTATATCAGGGCATTTCCAAAACAGTAAAAAGACAAAGCCGAAGGTAGAGGAAACACTGACGAAACATCTAGGCCCAGACACAACGTTAGGGGAAGGAACATTGGAAGCCACCAATTTTAAAGTGGTACACATGGCTTGAGTTTGAGAACAGCCACTGGTGCCATTAGATTGAAATAGGATCAGTGAAAACTGAAGGCGGCAGAATCCTTCCCAGCTTAAAGCTTGACATTGCACAGAGTGACATATAGGTCCTGAGCTGGCAGGAAGTCTGCAGCCAAAGGGGCACCACTCTTACATTCATTTCAGACATGGAGCAAAATCTGAAATCCCAAGAATACTCATAAACAAGGAGGTATGGACAAGACCACAATCAATGCCGACAGAACAATATAAATCACAGGATTGCATTTTCTTTGCTGTACCCTGGTTGTCAGCAGAAGGGCTGCTGCAGTAAAAAAAGGGAAAGGTTTGTTAGAACGCTCCATTGCAGAATAGCCCACTGTGTATGCTAGAAGAACCCGCTGTGTAGCATCCCCAGTACTGCACATTTAAAGCGGAGTCCCAGTCACACTGTGAAAAAATAAAGTCAGCAACTACAAATACTGTAGCTGCTGACTTCTAAAAAAAAACAGCCACTCATCTGTCCCTCGATCCCACGGTGTCCTCCCCGCAACCCGTTTCACCAGCCGGTTGGTGTTCCTGGTGCCGGCATCTTCAGTGTGGGCACCTGCCTGTGACAGCTTGCGGCTTCACAGCCGGGTGCCCATTGTGCATGCACAAGTAGCGCTGCGCTTTCTGAATGGTACCGTAGTCTTCTGGGACCTGTCACGTCTCCCACAAGACTATGGGGAGGAAGGGAGCAGGACAACTGCCACTTCCGATCACCTAGGCAATCGCAGCAGAAGGAGGAGCGGGTATCTGTCAATTTTGGGTACCTGCTCCCCCCCCCCCACGCTCCCCAAAGGTGCCAATCCTAAATGGAGAGTGGGGAACCAGTCTTTTAAAAGTGGAACATCCCCTTTCGGGTAGAGCTCCGCTTTAACTTCTGGCAGCTGGCAATTTGTAAACTGCTACTTCATTAA